TTCCCTGGATAGAGCAAGGAAGGAGAAAAGCAGCAGACGCCAGGTTTCTCCAAGTGTTGACCATTTATAAATACGTACATTTGCTTTCATACATACAGTTCATTGTACAGATGACGCTCTGTATACATGGGGCAGGAAAATGCATTCATTTGAACTTTTCACAGCTATCTCACACAGCTCACATGTACAGACAATAAAACTGTTCAAGCAAGTACAGTAGAGAAAATGTCTTCCTTATACACGGGGCTGGAGGCCTCCGTTGGGTGTGGGGCATCCCCACTGCACGAGTTCACGACCGTGTGGTGTTTGATATATCAGGATAGAGAACAAACATGCACTGGATAATATACTGTACAGAGGAAGTCCTTTACATCTGAGTTATAGAAAACCTAAAGGAAAACTAAGTGCATTAAAGCTTTTTCCAGCAAGTGTCTTGAAAGGACAGCAAAGAGGAATAATCAAAATCATATTAGTACAAATCACTCTTTAATTGTAGACTGTACATGTCTGTACTAATTAAAATCATCTTGGGTTAGGAGGAGACAGAACAGAGAGACAGATGCTGTGCTAGATGGAAGGGAGGCCATGCCTGAGAATGGCACCTGCCCTAGGCCCCACAGGGAACCGGCCCAACTCAGCAGGAATCAGCCAAAAGTCAAAGAACAAAACAAAACAAAACAAAGCAAAGCAAAGCAAAGCAAATGAAACCAAACTAGGACAGGAAGTAGAACTTACAGGATTTCCAAAATAACCTCGAATGAAGTGGGTATCTAGAGCCAACATCTCTATCCCCCTCCCCCAGTGATGGGTACACAGTAAGGCAGGTACATTCAAGTACTGAATTTTCCAGAATTAACTCTCTGTCTGGTCCTGGGGATTGAAGGGAGTGAGTTGAGTCCTAGCCAGATTTTCTGGTTAGTGATTAGCAAAGGAAAAAATCCAGCCATCAAGTGCTACAGAAACAAAGCAGCTAGGCCATGTCCTTCCCACGGAGTGCGTCTATCTGAAACCAGGAGATGGTGCTGGCTGGCATCTGTGTGTGGCCAGCTGTAGCCTGACTGGTCAGCTTAGTGTAGGGATCACAGTCAGCAGGAAGAAATGAGATGACAGGGTGAGGAAACATAAGAGTAACACTTGATTTTTGGTGTCCAATTATACGTTCATTTGGTACTGACTCTCGAAGCTCTGACTGTGGCCATCATGTGGCCACAAGCATTTCAGGGTGGCTCAGCTGCTGTGAGGCATTGGACACCGAAATGAAGGTTACCAACACTTCAGCCCTTGAGTGGTCTGTATTACAAAAAGAGTTGATGAAGACCCAGTGAATATTCAAGTAGCTCTGCACAGTGGCTCCACCAGCCCCGTTGTGCTTGTGTCCAGGCCCCTAGCCAGCTGCCTTTTCTTGGGAGCAGCCAGAGCTGAGTTCAAGGCATTGCATGGTGAAGGTTTCCATGACGCGTCTTTGTAGGTAGCTCTTACCCTAAGCCCTTTGTTCATTGTTAGTCATGGTAGATGGTCAGTCTGGAATTCCCAGAGGAAAAGGAGAAGTCACACCTCTCAACAAGCATGAGGCAGGGCAGTATAGCCCTCAGAGTAAAGGCGGCAGCAGACCCCTTCTTGAGAACTGGGCAGCCTGAGGGCAGACAGGTAGGGTGGGTGGGGCTGTTGAGCACTCAGGCTCAACAGGAGATGGGCACAGAGGCAGCATGTCCTGCCGCCTGGGGAGCCTGTTCCATTGTGTGGCAAAGATTCAGTGAGCAACTGGTTTTGTCCAAGGCATTTCTGCAGTAGAAAAATAACCATCTTTAATCAACTACCCAACCATGGTACTTCTGGAGTTATAGAAGTCGGAGGCTGAGTGGAACTGAGAGGAGCGGTTCTAATGGGGAGAAAGGGAGCTCAATGTAACCTCCCAAACAGGTGGTGTCCAGAGTCTGTCTCGCTACAGGTGGCATGGATGCATGAAGACCCCTCCAGGCTTTTATTCCATCTTCCTGAACCTCTAGTCTATTGGCCAGCCAGCTGCACTGGCAGCAGCTCCATGGAGCCATTCTTTGTAACCAGGTAAGTATGATGCAGAGTCACAGTGACACCTAGCGGTAGAGTATGGTGAAGCAAAGTGACATCCACATATTCCACTGCATATGACTAAACTCTAAGGAAAAATACTTATGGATATTAAATTAGATACTGGTTTAAAATTTTTCTATTGGGTATATCTCTGGAATATAAAAATACCAATATTTAGATGGGATCATAAACTACTATACAATATAAGGGCGAAGAACACCTTTCTCTGAGCTGTTCTGTTTACAATAATTTAGGAAAAGTGATAATCCAGGCTTAACTAAAATCAGCAAACTTGGATATCTGGGCAACAACCTGGGATACTGTACACAATTTTAATTAGTGGAATTTTCCTGAGCCATCGAGTTTAAGTTAAACACATCTAGAAAGGGGCGCCTGGGAGAGGGACGAGGGGGTTGTGCTCTATTAACTCGGGACTTTAATAGCGCACGCCTGCAGCCTGGACAGACACAGCAGCAGATACACAATGCTCTCCATTTGTCCATGCCGAAGTCTCATGTTACACAGGTTTTCCCTTTACTTTGTAAATAAACATTAATTTTATTGGTTACTTGTGTGCCTTACTGATCCAGTAAATAAATGAACCATGTCTCAGGAGTCCCTAAGAACGTTGCTGGAAAAGCACTTTAAAATCACTGCAAATGTTTTCTTGTGTTTAAAAATTCTTACTCTTTGAGGCTTATATACAACAGTTATTTCTTGTGCTATAAATGCTGTGATCCACTGCTTGATTTCTTTCCTTGTTTTTTTTTCTTCTTGAAAAACACACTAGACAAGAGTGACTCTGCTAATTTCTAATGAAGACATTACTCACACTTAAATATCCAGTATTTATCAGAGTTACAAATTCAAACAGTAAAGTGCACCCATTTATAGACATGATGTGATGGAAACCCATTAGTGCAAGAATTTTGGGCAAAAGAACATGTTTTGGTGAGAAACCTACAAGCTGAAGTTTGTCACCTGTCTCTATTTAAGGGTGATATGAATTGAGTGAGCAGAATTTGCCAGTTTCATTTAAGATTTGTCTTCCATCCCAAAGCCATATGTGCCTGGCAAACGTTCATTGCTGGGAAGGGAGGGGCACATTTAAAATACAGTACTAAGATCAACCATGGCAGTGAAGTAGCAAAGCAGGGCAGGCAGTCTGCATCCAGGGAAGATGCTTGTCTCCTGCCTCAGGAAGCTCCCATTGGTGTTTTTTAGTCAAAACCCATTTGCTCCCAGTAGTGGCATGCACTCTCTTCTAACAGCTAGGAAATAATTGTGGTTTGTTTGACACTGATATTTCAGGTGGGGGTAGAGCCGCTAGCTCTCTTGCTTTTCCTGGGAAAATGAGGGACCCTGGGTAATAGTGGCAGCTGTGTGGTATATTTTTAGGACTGCATGGCATCCTAACCCAGCTGGGCAGGTAAGGTGTGAGGGTGGCTTTCCTGACGGATTGTAGTAGCTCCCTCAGAGGTGGTTCAGATAAGATACAATGTGATTCGGAGACCAACAGAGCTGTGTCCAGGCCACACAGGGAGCAGGCCCTTCAAGAGGCTGCTGCTCCAGGTTACAGGCTGACCACACAGCTATAAAATTCTTCCAGATGCTCGGGAGAGACGAAGATACAGACAGGTGGATGGACAGGTAGGGAGAAATGACCAGTGCCTATCCTAGTCTAGGAGAATGGGGCAGTTCTTCTATATCAGAGTAAAAAGAGTCCTGCTTACAGAGATGAGTCCTGATCTGTTTTACTTGGGGGGGCCTGGGGTCCACCTATTGGCAGGATCTAAATTAGTGATAAAAGGTTTCTGATCTCAGTGTCATGCTCTGCATGTCTTCAGATACTATCACAGAACTGCATTCCAAACATATCACAACTGAATTTTGTTCAAGAAACTGTCCTTCCTGCAGCCCTTTACTAACGAGTAAAATGCTCCCTAAGAACACGGTACCAACACCCTGGTTGTTTTGCTAGGCCTAGTGGCTTGGTTTTAAAAGCTGATGTGCAGCCAGAGATGGGACTGTGCTACAGCTTTGGTTCCTGTGTTCTTCTTGCCCACCTCATAGTCATCTCAGCTTTACAAAAATCAGGTTGGTAAACAGCCCTGAGACGGAGGGATACTGAGGGAGGAAACGGCCTGCTATCAGTCTCATGCCCTTACCCAGTACTCAGAGCAATCTGCAACACTTTTGGCTGTTTCTGATTTTCAAAGATTACCATTACACACTCCTAGATAAAAGAGACAATTCCTTGAACAGTGAATGACATGGAATTAGTTAACAGCCGGCATGGAGCGCAGTGGCCTGGGTGGCAACCCTAGGATGGGTCCTACAGTCCCAAGAAAACCAAGTAGGTTCTGGAAGAAACTTTCTTTACACCACAATCTAGGTTTGAGACAACCAGCATCAGCTGAACACACCTGGCTCCAGGTGAAATGCAGCTAGTAGGGTTACTACACCAGCCAGACCTCGGGAGGACTGTTCAGGGCTTTTTGTGTTCTAAAATGCAGACTTGACACAGCTTTCTCTCAGTGAGAAGCAAGAACAATCTTTCCCCATTTCTCCTCTTTTCTCCATACTTATTCCCTTCTCTAGCCTTGGAAAATCAGTAGCCTTTAGTGGCTAACTGTTGGTTAAAGCCTAGAGAATACCTCTTGGTTAGTACTTTAAAAATACCCACAGTTCTCCTGGAAATTTCCTTGGCTAATCAAGTTATTTAAAGGGCTGGATGTTTATTAAATGTTCCCCAAATGCTTCTTGGAAAACCAACATACCAACATAGTAACATTTCAGATAATTATAGATTATAGTGGGCTTTTCTTCCAATCAAGCCTACCTGCCTGCCTCTCTCTCTCTCTCTCTCTCTCTCTCTCTCTCTCTCTCTCTCTCTCTCTCCCTCCCTCCCTCCCTCCCTCCCTCCCTCCCTCCCTAGACCCCTTTGTCCCAGGGGAGGACCAGCAATAAAGTAAATGAAGATTCTAGACCTGACGCCTGCAGGGAGCTGGAGTCTGGGGAGGAGACCATGGCACAGAGATGCACTGGGGCTGGCCATGTGAACACTGGGAAGAATGCAAGGACAGAGAGGCATCACACATGTCCTAATGTTTCTAGAAGAAAACAAACAAGAACATCTTACTTTTTTTAAAAAGGAAAAAGACATTCACACAACAAGAACATCAGTGAAAGCGATTGTCTCCTGGAAAAAGCCAACCAGTGTGTCTGATCTCCCTGGTTAAAGCTCATGGCACGAAATCTCCTCGTTGGTGTTGGAAGAGAGGGAGGGAGCATGTGGCTGGGGCACAGACCCGAGAAACTGAAGTCCTGGCTCACCAGAGGCCAGCTTCCCAGTCAGCTGCATGCAAAGGATTTCAACATGTGGGCTGTCACCTCTGAACACCACACAGAAACTACATGAGAAATTAAGCCAGAGAACTACCTCAGATGTGGAAACCAAGCCTGAAAATGTGCAGTGAAAACATATGGGTCTCACTCCAACAAATGTCTCTTAAACATTAGACTCCACAAATGGTCTCTTTGGTTTGATAGGCGATGTCTGTCCTTGTCGAGAGTCCCGAGACAATTGCCTGTACAGGTTGTCCTGGTATGCCTGAGCCACTGGTAGGGTCCGTGCCACCTTCACATCAGGATAAGAGGAGGCCTGGCTGACTCTTTCTAAGAGGTCTCCACGGGACCCATTAGCCAGCATCCCATGGGGGCTGTAATAATCGTCCTCCAGCAAATGGCCATTCTGTGCATTGTTGGTTTTGTTATAAAAGGCAATGTTGCTAATGGATGATGGTGGACTGAAGGACTCAGGCTGAGGCAGGTTGCCTGGAGACGTGGGACTGAGAACGGTATCCACTGATGAGACTGCCCAGGTCCGATTCTGCTGGTGAAGGTGGGGGTACTGTTGAGTCCGGGCTGTTTTATCTATGATCCCCATGAATGGTGTGGTCCTGGATCGGGTGGGCTCACTGGGGTAACCTCCCTGAGTGGGAGATACTGGTGATAGCTCATCACATGACCTATCATATGCCGGTTTTAGTGGGATCTCCATTTGCTGAATTGAAGAAGAAGGCCGGAAGGTGGGAGTCAGGTTGGAGGTGGAGGAGATGCTATTGCTGGATGGAGAAAAGCGCAGGCCCACACTCTGCGAGTGCAGCAGGGGCCTGGGAGTTGGTGGGTGGGGCTTGATTTCATTAGGGTTGACACTGATAGGTCTTCTGATTAAATGTGACACATCAGGGGAACCCAGCTGGCTGGAGGAACGCTCCAGATCTAGTTTTGAGTGACAGACTGGATAATAGGATGCTGATTGGCTACGCCCAATCTGTGGTGTCTGGCTGTACCTCATACCACCTCGATAGGCAGAGGATGGTCGCTGTGGCAGGTCTTCTTTGGTCAATCCTCCATGCTGACAGATGGCACCAGCACTCAGACTGGCTTGGACATGCTGTACAGGTCTCCCGTCTCCTACAATCCCTCCTATTGATCCCTGATAAACCAATCGGCTCTGACTTACTCCCATGTCTCCTTGTGAAGATTGGTATTTACTGGCCATTGAATGGGCTACTTGGCCGTAGGCTCCTGTTGGGATTACAGTGCTTGAATGCACTGCTGAGCTAGGCTGGTTACTTCTTACAATCTGGGCCTTGGCAGGCTGTAGCCTGAGCCCTTGCTGGGGAACTGCCACTGGAAGCTGAGGCATCTGGTAGGGTCGCTGGGCCATTTTGGATAGCGGAGATTTTGGTCTGCCAGGAAGCTGACTCACATTTGTTTCTTGCTGATAGCGTACAGGTGAACCAGACTGGGATCTATAGACACTCATGCTCTCAGCTGGAGGACTGGCCCTATATTGAGGGCCTCTACGGAGAGGGGAAGGGGGAGGGCTAGGGTATTCCTTGCCTTGCCCTCCCACAGGAGGTGGGCTGAACCGGTAAGATGCACCCTGATGAGCTGGGGAAGTATGTGGTGGGCTAGGCCTGTAATGAGAGTTCTGGTGAGTCGGAGAAAGAGCAGGTGAGGTGGACTGATAACCTTGTCTAGTGGGAGAACCTACAGAACTGTTGGACCGGAAGTCAAAAACCTGATGAGAGCCGAGAGGTGAGCTAGAGATGTAGGCCGAGTCCCGATGAGCTGGAGAGGAGGGTGGGCTCTGGATTACTGGGAGCCCCTGACTGGGGCGAGCCTCTGTCTGGAGGCCAATAGAAACATTTTCAACATCTTGTTCCAAGTACTCCTCCTCAAATATGTCTTGTACAGAGTATATATCTTCGTGCTGGGGCTCAGGCTCTGTTTCTTCCTCTGGCAACTCCTGTGGAGGCTGCTGGGGTGGTGGTGGTGGCTGCTGTTGCTGCTGCTGCATCTGTCTGCACTCTTCCTCCACTCGCATCAGAAGCCTCTGGATCTCACGGTTGTTTGGACATAGCTTGATGGCCTCTTTCAGGTCCTCTAAGGCTGCTGCAAACTGTCTGCTTGACAAAATGCAAACACAAGGATGGGAGTTATTCAGAATGAATAGGAATCACCAGGAGCAGAGAACATGGCCACCAATTCAGAGAACTGCATCAGGTAGCATTTGGGGGACTCAAGAGGGTCTAGTTCAGTTTGACTTATAAGGAAGGAAACAAAGGCTGTTATTCTAGAAGAGTTTAGAATGAGGTCCTAGACATTTTGGCTTTTATCTTCCTTCTGGGCTCTCTGGGATTAACGGAGAACATCTTCATTAGGTCAGTCCAGACAGGCCCTTCAGGAAGATCTTTAGTGCACAAGTACAGTCTAGGCAGTATGAGGGTTGGTTGGGGTTGTCATTTACAGTGTCACTGTCAAGAAGCTTAGGAACAAAGCAGTACATAACTGTAGTGTTTAAAAATCTTTCTGATCCAGTATATTTTTTTTTGTGTGTGGGGAGGAGGTTTGAGACAGGGTCTCTCTATGTAGCTCTGGCAGTCCTGGAACTTGCTATGTAGACTAGGCTGGTCTTGAACTAGAGCAATCATCTTGCCTCTGTCTCCTGAGTGCTGGGATTAAAGGCAGGTACTACCATGCCCAGATAATCCTGTGAGATTAAGAAAAATATTCTCAATATTTTGGTCTAAACCTCAGGCCTCTTACATCCTAGGTGTGACACCTGTCTTTGGTCCCTTTTCCCCATCACCTAACAGTACTGTGTATCGTTCTGCTAGGTCACAGCCCGCAGGAGGCAGTTTGCTGGTTAGGTGACTGAGAGTGGAGCTGCGCTTACTCCAACAAGACCCTCATCAACCAATGAGGGAGTGGACTGTGGAGACACTCCTATCCTCCTAACTGAAACTACCTGGAAAGTGGACAGCTCACCTAGTGGAACAGGAACAGTCCCAGATGGAGAGGATTTAACAGCCAACTTCTATAAAATTATTATGACTTTTGCTAGATCACTGCTTTCAGTGTCACTAGCTTTGTTTTGATTTTTGTAGACAAATCCCCCTGGGTCATAGCAGCAAATCCCAAACAGTTCTTTCCCATGCATGAGAGAAGGCTGGGTGCTGGGTGGAGGCACCAAGGACAACGACTGGCAGATTTTAGATCTCTCTGGAGGCTCTCTTACTCAGTGGCTAAAGCATAGCAGATGGGCACAAGAAGTGGTGCCATCTCAGTCCTGGCAGCAGAACTGTCTGTGTTTGGGTGAGGATGGTCAATGTTATCAGACTTAGGAGAATCCTCTACCGAGGACTGAATAATCTGGGGAGTCCCCAAATGCCTGTAGGAAAGGAAAGGAAGAGCCTGTAAGTGACTGTCCTGTTCTTCCTGTTGAGAAGGCACAGGGGAGGTTTGGGTTAAGTGGCTTCCTCTTTACTTCATCATTACCTCTTTATGCCATTGGCTTGAGGCTAGAAAATGACTGAGACATGATACAGGCTTCCTGGAAGAAAGTGCCATTTTCCATTTTACCTTTCTCCTGATGTGCCCAGGAGAAGTACTGATTGTGAGCAGTGCCCTATCTGCAAAGCCTGGCCCCGAGAGCTGGCAAGGGCACACACATCCCAGGGCGGCCTACATTGCCGTAGCCACATTTTCAGACACTGATGTTTCTCACCCTTCCTTGCCTCACCTGCTGCTGCGTTTTGCCCTTGCTCTCGCATAGTATGCTTCATAAGATTTCGGTTTCAGCTCCAGGGCCTTAGTAGCAAATTCCTCCGCCATTCCAAAATCCTGTCATTACAATAGGTGTGCAGATGAGTCATTGGAGAGATACACAAAGGCAATTTGGGAATAAGACAAATGATAGACACAATCCTTTGACACTAGTCAATGGAATGCCTGGGGATCATGACATGCCTGACATGCCTCTACCCATGTGGTCCACAGACTGAACTTCCCCCTGCCTTCTGCTGTGTGTCTCTGAAACCACTAGCTGAACTTTACTTGTCCAAAGTATTAAAAACACTTTTGAATTTCTAGCTGTTTTTTTATAATCCCAAAACCAAATGTCAGCCCTCTATAGTAAGGATCCTAAATTTGGAAACTCTCCACACAAGAGGAGAGACACAGATACCTCAGGTGGCATTCATTCTGTTGGTTCTCCTTGCTGTTGTGCTCACAAGACTTTGGCTTCCTAAGGATCACTGAGAATGTATTCCACAGAGTCCAGGAGAAAGGTCTGGGTAACAGCAAAGATCACTGACTGGAGCCGAAAAGGCATGAGGATGCTAGACAGACAGGCTCAGTTCTGTGGTCTATTCTAACTCAAGTCAGTTGAACATTCTTTGCACCCACACTGTTTCAATGATAAGGTTAAGCATAATACAACATTTAAATGCTATGTATGTTAGACATGTAGTGGGTCCCTATACTACATGAATATTCTTCATATTTCACAGATACTTCTCTGTCTTGTTCTTTCTTCTATTTGATTCTTTACGTAGGAAACACTCAATTTAAAAAATAGACAAAGAAACAAGTAGTTCTTTCTTCTATTTGATTCCTTATGTAGGAAACACTCAAAATTTAAAAAAATAGATAAATAAGTAGACACTGGCTGTGACTGGTTGTGTTGTCCTGGAGACATCCTAGAGAAGCACAGTCTCAGAGCTACTGGTGCTACCATGACAACCTCCAGGAATAAGGTCTGAAGCATATAATATTGAACAGGCAATGCCTGTGGTCTTTAAGATCTCCTTAAATACTAAGTTAAAGTGAAAGGCTTTAGTATTCATTGGGGGAGGTTCTATTTTTTGAGATATAGTCTTGCTATGTACTCCAAGCTAGCCCTAGTCTTCCTGCTTCTGCCCCCAAAGTACTGGCATAACAGATACATGGCACCATATTTGGCTTAGGTTTTTCTCTTCTTTAAATATCAGAATCATAGTAAAGCAGGATTATATTCATAGTTCCTAAGGCAGAAAACAGGGTAGAAGGAAGGTTCTGGGTCACAGGTAAGGGCTCATAAAAGATTGTCTAGTGAGGTGCAGGGACTTCTGGTGCTTAGTGTAGTGTTGGCTCACAGGAGGTAGTTGCTGGTTTTGTGAGGAAATGGTATGGACTATTTTCTCTCTCTCGTTTCTTACATTTCCCTTTACGTATCTGAGAGGGAACCATTGTTTCTAAGAATAGGAGAGTAGAACAACTCTTCTTCCTTGGTGCTATAGGCCCACAGGGAGGTCTTGTGCATGTTAAGCAAGAACCTTATGACTGAGCTATATGCCCAAAGCATATTTTTAAGAGCCAATTAACTGCTAGGGAGAAAAGAAGCCAGAAGACTGGCACCCACTGCTAAGCTTTGCTTCATTCTCAGGGGAGGTCCACAGAGACGTCTGGGACTGATTCCACTGTTCACATAAGAACCTCAGGTAGGATTTTACTATCGTGCTCTGAATACCTTCCACCCTTCCACTTCCACCCAAAGTTAGCTTCTCCTTGCCCCAACTCCTTTCTACCTCTGAAGGCAGAACTGTGTCCTCTGAGACAAGTCTATCCCAGAGCTCTTTCACTGTCAGGTTTCAGGGCTGGAATCAATGATGCAGAAGTTATGTACATAAATAAGTCTTTCTGTATTTGAGAGCAGATCCTTTTCCACTGTAGCCAGAACCTTCCTTCTGGACAGGTTACTCTTGAATCTCTTACTGAACAAAACTTCCTGCTTGGTTTGGATTACTTCTATCTCCTGAGGGACTGTGAAATCTCTAGTGGATGACAGTGACTCTGTTATGATTGTAAACACTTCCAGTGTCTGAGATTTTTCTTAGCTCAGGGCACAGCAAAGGAGCACTGGCTGAAACTATACCTGCAAAGAATGGAGAAGAGCCAAGGACATCTAGGGGGTGATAGAGGCCAGAAGGAATTTTAAGATTTCATCCAAACAAGAGGTGGGATATACTGGAATACAGAGACCAAGAGGAGGTGAAAAGGTCAAGAGTCCTCTTAGGAATTAACCTTGAAGTCCTGAGGCTTCATCCCAACCCTTTGATACCTGACTAGGGAGCACACTAGAAAGAATGATGTCTTGACCTAACTGCTCCTGAAATTCTGGCGAGAATGGCTGGAGAGTGTGTGTGGAGATGACAGTGTTTCAGTCACTTCAGTGAGGATTATGAAACTGCAGAATGCCACAAACTGCTCCCAGAGAACTAGGTTTTCTACAGCTCAAGGAACTTGTATTTGTTGTGGATTTATTTCTATGTGCAAATGTCAGTGTTCTGTGAAGGACAACCAGGTTCCAAATGGGGCAGAAAGGATTTTAGGGCCTAGTAATAAGGTAGTAAGTAGCAGGAACTTTCAATTTCCAGCACTGCAGAAAAGAGTTAGGATTAGAGGGACTTACGTTCATTTTCCTGCGACATCGAGAGAGGTTGAGGAGGAGAGACACTTTTAGCTCCCGGAAGGTTTTCAAGTCCTCACCAAACCCTTCTCTAGGGAATTTCTTCAGAGCATACTGGTAGCGTTGGGCAGCTTCCTTTACTTTACCTTTCTAATAGGGTACAAATGAAGAGCACAATGTTGGTTTGCTGAGTGGCCGAGGAGATCTGGTCCCTAGTTCCTGCCGGCTCTTATCAGTTGTTATAAAGGTTAAAGTCCCTTGATGCTGAGAGCAGAAATCTAGTCTTTTCTATAAGAAACTCACTTGGTAAGAATGTTGAAGGGAGGTCCAAAATAACAAGCCAGAGAAACAAAATCTTGGCAAATGCACGTAACAGTTTCTGTTCTCAAGGGCTAACCTTGGTCATTAGGAAATTTCTTCTTTTCTTGAACAGCTCTACTTGGGACACATAAAACTTCCTGGTCCCAGCACTCCAGAGTGATAGTTTCTCCCTAGGTTTTGGCTTATGTGGCTTTTCTTTGAGGCTCTACCTTGCTGCCCCACAGAAGAGATAATTCTCTTCTTCAGGAAGCATGAAGGACCTAGAATGGTCTATCTGAGGCTTTTCTAATGTTCACAGTGTTTGTGATCAGGTAGGAGGTAAGGTGGTAACAGAGAAGAAAAGCTTGGAATTTGTTACTCTCACTTGTAGACCATACTCCCAAGATGAAGTAAATCTGACCAACTTCGGGATGCTCTGCAGAAACACTGAATTGCTTTTATACTTTGCATCTGGAAGGCTGTATATAAACTGTAGAAAGAATCTAGGTGGTAGCTCCTGTTGTCACCTGGATTCTTCCTCTGTAGAGCTGCATCTCCAGGTAGCATCAGTTCTTTACCTTTCATCATCTTTTAATAAGGAGAAGTATACATTCTTCCAAGGGAGAACTATGGAAGTGCCTATTTACATAGGAGCCAAGAATCCTTGCCCTGGGATAGCAGAAGGTATGTTGTACCAAAGCTTTTTTTTTTTTTTTTTTGGTTTTTCGAGACAGGGTTTCTTTGTATAGCCCTGGCTGTCCTAGAACTTACTCTGTAGACCAGGCTAGCCTCGAACTCAGAAATCCACCTGTCTCTGCCTCCCAAGTGCTGGGATTAAAGGTGTGTGCCACCACTGCCCGGCTGCAAAGCGTATATTCTTGAGAATGACATAAAGGTCCATAAATATGATCCCTACAATAATGAAGATCTTTGAATTTACATGACTTTATATGATTACGTTTGGATCAAGGTTCAAACTTCCTACAAGCTACGATAATCATGATGCCTAGGAACTAGAATTCTGCTTAGGACCTTGTATATTTATAAAACAATGAGTTTTATAGTAATCTTATCATCTTTCAGATCTGTAATATCTCAAGGATGCCTGCTGCTAAAAACTGGGTTGGAGTTATTTACGTTCAGGGATGATCCAGTGAACTGAAACACTGTGAGGTGACTGACATGGAATACTCTAAGAATTTCCTTCTGGCCAAGTGTTTATTAGGGATACCTATTTCTTAAAGACTGTCATCCAGGAAGTGACTGTGAGCAAATTCATAATAATCACTGTTCATCTTACTAAAAATGGTATTATTACTATGAACTTTTTTCCCCGGGCTGGCTTCAAACTCATTCCATAGCCAAAGAGGACCTTATGCCCCTGATATTCTCCTGCCCCCACCTCCAAAGTGCTGGGTTTACAGGCATATGCTGCTGAGTATAAAAACTAAGATCAATGACACTGGAAATACCAATATTATGTAAGTTTGCTTTTAATTGCCCTATGAGTTCCTTACTTAGAAGATTCTGAGAAAAACCTGTTACTGAATTGTAAGTGACCAGCTAAAACCAAAATGTTTTTGTTCTCTTATCAGGAAAGCAAAAACCTGAGGACCCCTAAATTAGAAGCCTGGTACCAGGGAACCATTTCTCCCTTTGCCTCTACAGAAAGGAATGAAAACTTTCAAGTTTTCAAGATTCTCCATGTAAACAGCACCTCCTCCCGCCCTCACCTTATAAAACATGTCCCCCTCTTCCATCAGCTTGCTCAACAGGATGATCATGATGTCTGGTTTGGAGGTGGCCATCGCCCATGTGGCTGGACCTGCAGTGTACAGGATGCATGATGGGTAAAGAACTCATACAATGTAAGGTGGTAGGAAGCTGGGTGAAAAAAATATCCTGGGGAATTTCTGCTGAGAGAACAACTTGCTCCACAATAATTACCTCATTTTTTAGACCTGGGAGTATTTTAGTGACTCCCATTGCCAAGAAGCTGCATTGGATTTGCTTGTATTCACCTTAAAATAAGAACATCTGAAGTGTCCAAGGTTGTGCCACAGGAGAGCAGTGACACCTGTGTGATACACATAATGGCTTAAGTTTGAAATGATTTTAAATCAGGAAGTTGGAAGAAAGAGTTTATATTAAAGGTTACCACAAGATTAGAAAAAGCCAAAGAGGAATAATTTCTGTCTGAGATGGAAAACTCCCACATAGACTCAGTTTTGAAGTGTGTACTCTGTAGAAGGGAACCCTCCCCTTAGGGACTCTAAAGGCTCCCTTAGAGCTGAGGACCAAATAGGACTCCCTGGGATTCACTTGGAACCAGGGGCACAATTCTAATGCCAATAGATATGAAACAAACATTAAGAAGACTACTTCACTCATGAAAGAAAAGAATAAAGTTAAATTGATTAGTTTACAGATGACTGGATTATTTACCAACTAAGCTTTTCAGGGTTAGTTATCACAAGTTCAAGTTATTCTCTGCAACAGTCATTAAAAAAATCTTCTTTTAAGGTGAAGTAAATTAAAAGATTAGAGGTGTAGGGAACTCATGCAGGCTAAATCAAAGAGGAGAAGGCAAAGCTGACCAAGCCATCAGACCACGCCTGATGCTGACAGCGGTGAAATATACCTCGTGGGCGACTCGGTAACGTCTGACAACCTTCAAAGAAAGGAGAAAACAAAAAGTTGTAGGAAAGGAAAAAAAAATGGATGAAGGTGAAAAAAAAAAGAAAAAAAAAGAAGGAAAAAGCAGCAGTGAGAGGCAGGCAGCAAAAGCCAGCACATCAGCCAACCCTGGTCTACAGTGTGTGGGTCGGGGAGCAGCTGGGATAGCAGCAGCAGGGGCTGGAGAGTGAAGCGCGGAGAGCAAAGGAAAGCAAAGGCTTATGGTGCTGCAGGGAGCCAGGATGCTCAAAGGGTGGGGCTAGTGCACAGGCAGCACTAAGATGTGCATAAGCTCAGCGCAGCCTCCTGGCTAAAGCTACAAAGGGCAGGGCAGAGAGTCAAGTGACTCTGGATACAGGGTTTTGTAACTATAGCTCAGATGGTACTCTCTCTGGGCCAGTAGCCTTTTGTTCACTTGGGCAGTAATTGGACCAGGGCAGAGGGAGAACTATATACATTCACTCCAAAAACCCAGGAAAGTCAGACCACTGGCCCCTGGGCACAGATGGTCAATATCATCTCTCTTTCTCTTACCTATTTTGGCTCCTTTCTTCAGTAGAGTTACTACAACAGACGTGTTCCTGCAACCCACTGCCCTATCCAAAGGACGCATTCCACTGTAGTCAACATGCTCAATCATGGCCCCATGATCCACTAGGAACTGGACCTAGGAAAGAACAAGCAGGATGGATTAAAAGGCACAATGAATACAGCTTGTCCAGTTCAAACTGCTTGTCTGAAATATATATATATGTGTGTGTGTGTGCGTGTGTGTGTATAATTAATTAATTTCCGGCCATAGTGATATTCTTGATTTTGAATAATGTTTTGTATATTCCTGTCCTCTGAAGAGTCTGTTAGAACCATCAAAACAGTACTTCACATTTGATCCTAGATGGTATTCTTGATGGACAGCACCCCCATCCATTCTCTCCTGAGGCTTGTTTAAAGGTACTTACCACCTCAGCATCGCCATAGAAAGCTGCCAGGTCCAGTGGAGTACGGCCATTCTTGTCTGCATGGTCTGTAGCAGCTCCATTATCCACTAGAGAGCGCACTACTGAGAGATGGCCCTTCAGACAAGCCCAGCTGAGGGCTGTTAAGCCCTCTTTGTCCATCAGGGCAATGGAGGCACCTAAAAGAGCAAGCGAGAGTTCTGTTTTAACAGGACTGAGGACACAAAAGTTTGTAGCCAAAAGGAACACTGATATTTAAGGTATATGTGCTGTTGAAGAATGGTCTTGACTTCTAGATTTTTTCATTTTTAGATTGACCCTGGCTGGCCATGGTAATATATACCAGTAATCCCCAAAATAGGTAAGCAGGAAAATCATGAGTTTGAGGTAGTTTGGACAGGGAGTTCAAGGCCTGCTGAGTCATATTTCCATCTTCTGAGTGCTGTAATTACAAGTGTATGCCAGTCCAGATTTTGTGGTACTGGGACTGAACCTGGAGCCTCGTGTATACTAGGCAAATACTCAGCCAGCTAAACTGTATTACCAGCCTCTAAATTTTAGATTACTTAAAAAAATTAAAATCACTTGAGAATTCCTATTCTCCAACGTTCTATAAATAATGTAGTCTAAACTTAGTGAAAACTCACTTAAGTGAAAAAACAAAACAAAGCAAAGAAAATCTAAAGCAAATACAAAATGTTCAAAGACCATGGGTAAGGAAGAACAAACCTTTGTTGTCTAGAGTGTCTACTGGCATGGAGCAAACACAGTAGTCATCTAAGGTCATCAGTGCTAAAGAGGCCCTGCCTCTTCTATTGGATATAGTTTGTTCTGGAACATTGCTTTGTGCCACGTATTAAGAACCTAGGTCTGTTCCCTCTGAGTGCTGTTCCCCTCCTCTAGCAGAAATGAAGGTAGATATGAAGTCAGACTTGTTTGGCAACTTGTACTATGGAGGCCAGAGCAACATGGTACCCTGCAAGAACAATTCTTGATTCTAGCCACCTCTGAGTCTGAGGTTATGGAAACAAATCTTTCTTGAAAAGATAGAGCTAAATCCACAGAAAGTCTCTTAAGTGAAGCCAGTCTTCCTATTCAACTATCCTTGGCTGTTCAGGTCTGGGCATAGTTCTTCAAAAGGCTTAAAGGAATGTGCATCTGCATATAGACAATTATCTGTATTTAAGGCTGGTTTATTAACAGTGAAGGCTAACTGGAATGATGTCATGGTTTCAATCTCCTTACTATCCACTGCTTGAACCAAATCCGAGACGCCACTAGATGGTGCTGCAGTGCTACTAGTGGTGAGCCTTCTCTCTCTCTCTCTCTCTCTCTCTCTCTCTCTCTCTCTCTTCTTTCTTTTCCTCCTTCCTTCCTTCCTTCCTTCCTTCCTTCCTTCCTTCCTTCCTCCCTTCCTTCTTTTTTTAATTGGATATTTTATTTATTTACATTAAAAATGTTATCCCCTTTCCCCATCCCCCCCCCAACCCCTTATCCCATCCCTCCTCCTCCTTTTTGCTTTTATACCATTTTAATTTCATGCACGTATTAAGGTCAGTTCTAGGTTGAGGAACTAGCAATACAATAGATGCAAATAGTCAAAGAACAAGCAAGGCAGTAAACAGAGTCCCGTGATCACTATTCCTAAGGACATATCAGGATGACCAAAATATCTGAGCCTGCTTCCCTGTCCTAGTCCAAAGTCATTTTCATCCCTGAAGCCTACTTCTTTGTTCTAGCCTAAGATTTATATTCCTGCCTGAGCCTTTTCTATATGGCAATCTGTGACACCACTACTGCATAGGTGGCTGAGCTTATAGCAATCAGCAGGAATTAGAAATAATTTACCACTGTGTACCTGTAGGGAAAACACAGTTTCCCATTTACCAAGGGTGTGAGTATGTTGGAAAGTGCCCCAAGGAATTTATTATGGTAGCTTGATAGCAATATCCTAATTCTCCAAAGAGGGTCTCATTGCTATAAGTATCTTAACTTTCCTTTACCTCCTATGGACCCAAGAAAAAAAAAGTTAGTTGTGCAGGCTGATAAACTGATATCAAGCTTTGCCTGATGTGTTGGGTGTATACCTATAATCCCAAGGCAGAGACAAGTGGATCTGTGTGATTTTGTGGCCAGCCTGGTCTACAGAGCAAGTTCCAGGCCAGCCAGGACTACATAGTAAGACACATACCACCCCCGCCCCCACTCGCAGCAGCAACAGCAGCAGCAGCAGCCTCTAAAAATAGATGGATATTTACTGGGTATACATAAAAAAATTGAAGTCTACAGATTACTGATTTGAAAGGAAGAGTTCAGAATGTATTGATTTCATAACAATCCCTCAGGATATAAAAAAGAGAAAATGTCAGAGTTAGAACTCCCCAGTGTGTAAGTGGACAGGCTGGTAGTGGTGAGGTACACCTGTACACTTTGCTCTCTGGAAGCAAGTTGGTCTACATAGTGATAAAACATATGACCATTCAAATGTACATATAACATATGCACATGCACATCACACACACACACACACACACACACACACACACACACACACACAGCATGCAAGAGAGTACCAGGTATACTTAGGTAATTGAGGCAAGAAACAAATGTATTATGAGTTCAAAGCCAGCCTAGAATCTTATTTTAAAAAACTGGAAGAAAAAAATAAAAAAGACAGCAGGAGCATTTGGCTTTGCATTTTCCTTTTCTTCTCCTTTTTTAAAGATTTATTTATTTATTCAATGTATGTGAGTACACTGTCGCTTTCTTCAGACACATCAGAAGAGGGTATCAGATCGCCTCTGATGATTGGGGGCCGGGAATTGAACTCAGGACCTCTGGAAGAGCAGTCAGTGCTCTTAACCGCTGAGCCTTCTCCCCAGTCTGGCTTTGCATTTTCTCATCAACCGAATTAGTAATATCATTCTAACATGTTCCGTCCCGAATGCCTGGAGTTAAGTAGATTCTTACAGGCTTTACTCATTGACTCTCAGGGCTTACCTTGTGCAAGCAGGAAGTCCACGGTTCCTAGATGGCCTTCAGAAGCAGCCATCATCAGGGGAGTACGACCCTGCTTGTCTGCCATGTTGACATCAGCTCCATGGGTCAGTAAAAGATCGACAATCTGCAAGTGCAGAGAAACAGAGGCTGGTTATTGTAAGGAGAGCTACTGAGATGACACATGCAGTCTCTTTCAGTGTGAACTACTCTTTGCTGCAGAGGTGAGTTCGCCCTATAAGCAGCTTTCTACTGTAGCAACCTACTTATGACTTTCTGTACGATCCTAATGGCATGTGATTACTATCTTAACTCCCTTAGAGACAGATGAATGAGGATTCATCTCTGAACATGTAACTAAGACATTAAGTTAGAAAAAAGACAAATCAAGATGTGGTCTAAACCAAATAGAAGTCCCACCCCAGGTAACTACCCTTGTCAGTTCCATTTTATTAATCTCTGGAGGCTACAAACCTGCAGCAGCAATACACATTTACCACTGAATTGACTACAATAAAGTGCTTCTGGTAATAGCACTGTTTGGCTTCTAGAACCTTTTTTCTCCTCAAGAACCTCCAAAGATCATTATCAGTGTCCTTTCTTTTTCCATCCTAGTGTGTAAATTAATGGTTTCTCTAGAGTCCAAACCTTTGGAAGGATCAAGTAACTAGAGTCTGCACATAGTGTGTTTTCTTCCAGCCAGTCTGAAACATCTGTGAGTAACTGGTTTGAAAGGGCCTGCTGAGATGGGAACTCCCAGGCAACTGGCAGATACTGTTGCATAGAGGAGGGTGTTGCTCCGTGACCAGGGCAAATCTATCTAGTTCACAATGATGGCTTCGAGTGTTAACTTCTCCTCCACCCCCTTTTTATTGAGACAGGGTCTCTCTATGTTATCCTGGCTGTCCTGGAACTCATTCTGTTGACCAGGTTGGCCTTGAACTCACAGAGATCCGCCCGCCTCTGCCTCCTGGGTGCTGGGATTAAAGGTGCATATCACCTCATTGGTTGAGTGCTAATTTCTTACATCCTCAGTTCAGTGGAGCATTAGTAACAAAGGCCCATGTCCTCAAGCCTGAAGACTGCTGAGAAACCCAGTGTAGCTTCTTTTCTTTGCATCAGAAGTTTCTACCTGTAACCCATTCTTAACAGAGGGCTGGAAGCAGCACCCTACTTACCTGCCAATGGCCCTGGCGAACAGTGCTGAATAGAGGCACTGCTCCTCTGCGGTTTGGCTGGGCCACTGCTGCCCCTTGCTCCAAAAGCAGACGGCACACATCCAGTTTGCCCCTTCCCGCTGCAGCTGTCAGGGCTAAAGGCAGATAACAAAGACTGAGGATGGCTGGCTCTCCTTTTTTTCTAGTTTTCAATGTTAAACATGGAGTACTGTGTTTCTAAATGCTTTGTTTAATGCAAATACAGTAAATTAGTGTGTCTGATTAATGTAATCACTTTAACTTCAAGAATAATAATTTTGGCTGCCTTTCCTGAAAGGATATTTTTGAAGAAAAATAATAAAGACATTTAAAAGAGCTCACAATGTCTGGGGCCAATCATAAGAATGAATTCACTGAAAAATCACTTTTGTCAAATTCACCTGGCTTCATTTTTCCTATACTCAGACTGTCTACTCTGCTCTAAGTGTCTCTTTTTTTAAGGCTCTCAACCTAGTTAAAAATCTACTACTCGATGTATAAATGAAGTCTAGAGAACTGACTCTGTAGAGAAAATTGGCTGGGAAAAGTCTTGGTCAACCTCTGCTCCTGTGCTCTCAAACCTAAAGAACCAAAAGCAGGAACTGTAATTTAAGGCTTTGAACTATTTTTTATTTCTTTTTAAACTAATAAAGATAATAACACACACACACACACACACACACACACACACACACACACACACACA